TTCTGCAGGACTGTGCACCCAGGATAAAAGAGGATAAAGGAGCACACCGTCCTCATTGTTGCCCTCCCTCTCTGTGTCTTTGGTAAAGCTTGGCATATAGCAGGTGCTCAAGAAATGTTTATAGCATCGCTGTATTGCTTTGCCCAACAGATGAAGCCCTAAGAGGCAAGGTGTTTATATTTATGTGATTTGAATATATATGTATTTATTCTGACCTTCACCCATCCAGAATCCATTTGTAAATTTGCACTTGATTAAAAGCTTCACTTCTGTTCTTTAAGCAGCAAGCTTCACATTGTTTACAGCAGGGGTCCTTGCTAGAAAGCTTTCCTTGGTTCAATCGTCCTCTATTGTTATGAATAGAACATCAACATAATTAACATAAGAAATCCTTAGGGTAGAATTTTAAATGAAACCACATTTAGTTGTAGGTAATTCCTTTATTCCCCAAGATGAGGCTAACTTTCCACCTGGGGATAAGAAATATGTCAAAATCTCTACAAAGTAAACCCATTTAAATAGAAATAGTACAGTCTATCAACTCCCAGAAGTACAGAATTATTTTGATTACTTGGCCAAAACAATGAGGAAAAGAAAGGTAAATCAATAGGTCAAACTATTCAGAAAACAAAATGAAACACAAGTTTTGACATATCTGTGTTTTCTTTATCTGGGTAGAAAGGTACATGTTCTTTGGAAATGTTTTACTAAAAAGAAAATCATAAATCAATATTGGTATTTCATTTGTAAGTATTTTGCTGGTAGCCTAGTAATTTGTTTCAATGCTAAAATCTTCTATAGCCTAAATCCATGGTATTAAGAAGACAGAATCAGTATGCGCAAAGTCTCCATAGAGCAGGTAATCGATATATATGCATTAAACGAAGCAATGAATGGTCATTGATTTGACATTTGTCTAGGCTCCAAGTGTGTAGTGAGCAACTTGTGGAGTCATAAAGGATGAGTAGAAGGTAGACAGTACTTCTTAACTGGAGCTCTAAATTAATTTCACTTTGTCCACTCGGCAACTCACTGTTCTCATTTCCATGCTTCTAGCATTGCCACTCCATGTCACTTACGGCAGGCGCTCTATGTGCCACATGTGACTGGGCTATGGGCAGATGACCTCTTCTCTAAAAACACCTTGTGTCTGAGTTTTCCTAGTTGGTCATCACATTTAGAACTCATCCTCTTGACATTTTAGAGATGGCTCTCATTAACAGTGTCTCATCACTTGCCACAAGGCCATAATCTGTGTTTTTCATTTATTTCAGAAATCTCTACATCACATCTCCTATAAACACAGGTTTTAGTTTGTAGCAAGCATGTATTTTTAGAAGTCAGACTAACAGATATATTTTGAGTATGTTTTTAAGCCATGAGTTGCTCATGTGTAGACAATTTAGATTTGTGTGCATAATTATATTAGTTTAATAAAAAATACATTTTAAGCATACTTAAGAAGATTAATGATAGCTTAGTACATTGTCCTTATATCCAGCATGAATTTACAGTAAGCACCATCTAACTTATTTTAATCCGTATTCTAGTTTCTAATCTTTTCTTTCTCATAAAAACTCAAAAAAAAAAAAAAAAAAACCCTTAAACTGTGAATATCAATAGCAAGAAAAACCAATATGTGGTGACTTTCTATAGTGTCTCTAATATCACCTAATTTGTGGGTGTGTTGCTTTCTGGACATTTCTAGCAATATAAGCTTGAAGAAGAGACAAAATGAAAAGATTATCTCCTGTCTCCAGGTTTGCACAGTTTAAACTCTGCTAGGGGCTTTACCTTGACCTATTAATCCTCTCCTTAGATGCAGGAGTCTATTCCAAGATTGTTTCCTTGAGTTCTCATTCCCTAATGACACTGTTTGTACTTCCTGAAAGGAACATTATAAAAATAGTCCCCAGTGTGAAGTGTTATTAATATCCCCACCCTCTCATCCCCTGCAGGATCCAAATGCATGAGTACCTCTGCAGGGGGCACTGTTCTTGAGTACAGCCATCTTAAGTGTTCAGAATTTCTGATGTACAGTAACTTTTTCTTATTAACATCTACTTCAAATGTTACCTTCCTTATCTTCAGGCCATTTCCTTGTCTACAGGAAGATTTAGAATAATTTCCTTCCTCTATTACATTTTTTTCCTTGAAGGTATTTTATAATCAGAGTACATGTTCCTCTCTCGGAGGCTCCCTTGTTTCAGGCAAACTGTATTAAATCTCTCTCCTCTAATCTTCTGGATCTTGTGTTATGTCACTTGTCTTCTGTATATTCTCAGCATGGAGATAAGTAAGGAGCATTATATTTTAAGTTGGGAACACAGGAATAAAAACTGAGATGATTATAATCTTCGTCATCTGACTATATATCCTAATTTTTAAAACTGTTTTTAAAGTATGAATAGAATTAGAAATTTGGAAACTTTGTGCAACAGAAACATTATAAAAAGTAGATTGCTGAAATTTTATGTACCTTTTCTAAGACTTCCTATAAAAGTAAATAATTACCTCTTTGACTTATACTTGCTGTCACTATAAACCTTTATTTGTCCTGTTACACAATATAAAGACAATAAATGTCTTGTGCATTTTGCGTTACTCAAGAGAAGCCTTCCACTTTACCTCCTTTCTTTCCTACCTGTAATTTTATTTATTCTTTTTGAAGTTCACATTTCTATTTTTATTAATATCATCACATTTTAAATACCCAGCATTTAATCTTTACTACTACTTACAAATGCATTTAATATGTGTTCATAAAAACCCAATTAGCATATTTTTTACTAAGGAGGAAAAGGTAAAACAAGGAAAAAACAGGTTTTAATAGGCTAGTTTATGATCACAAAGATTATACATGTATGTCAGCCATCTGGCATAATTTTTAAATGCTATTTAATTAAATAATAATTCCCAATGGTCCCTGAGCTTACTTTTCCTTCTTTTCTGACATGTCTGATTCTTCCCATAAAGATGTTTTATAGATATATACAATATTATTCTAAAGTTTTATGTAAAAGAAAAACAAATAGAATAGCTACAGTTTTGCAAATGGGCTTGGTTACTTTTCTCTCATTGCTAGGTCAAAATACCCAATATCCAAAATGAAGGAAGGAATAGTTTATTTAGCTCAGTTTTTGGAGATCTCAGTCCAGAAGGGTGGCATGGCTTAAGGAGCAACACTTCAAAGCAGCAGCCAGCAAAAGCAACAGGAGCAGAAAAGGAGAACAAGCCTCTTTTCTTCCCCTATATTCTATGCAGGCCATCCCCTGACCCCCAAGCACATGTAGCTCTCACAAAGTCTCTGTGCCTCTTCTTGCACAGAATGAGGATGTTTACAGAGTAAAAATTCTGGTTTCCTGCTGAGTCTGTTAGTTAAACTTGTAAACTTTTCAAGTTGACACAATGTATTAACTATAATAAAAGCAAAAAAGCAAGGTAGAATCACTCTACCCAATACTGAAGCTTACTATGTAGCTATAATAATTGAGAGAATGTGCTATTAGAATAAGAATGGGAACATAGATCAATGGACCAAATGGAGTATTCAGAAACAGATCCACACAAATGCAACAGATTTCTAACAGAGGTCCGGAAACAATTTAATGGAACTGGTAGACATCCACAGGCAATAAAATAAAATAAAAACCTCACCTTAAACCTCTCACTTTATACCAAAAGTTAGCTCAAAAGAATGTGGATTTAAATGTAAAATTATAAAAGTTTTAGAAAATCTTTGAATCTTAAAAGGATAAGAAGAACAGCTAGAGAGGAAGAAAATATTTGCAAGCCATGTACCCAACAAAAGCATAATCTCTATAATAAAGAACTCTCAAAACAGCAATAGAAAAATCCAACAATCTAATTTGTAAATGAGATAAAGATGTGAAGATCCATTTCACCAAAGAGAATATACAGGTAATAAGTTAACATATTAAAAATACTCGATACCTCTAGCCATTAGAAAGTAAAAATTAAAACCACAATAAATTATTGACATCTCTCTATTAGAATGATAAAACTAAAAAATACTAACACCAAATCTGGCAAGGATTCAAAGAAACTGGATGATTTTTATATTGCTTGTGGGAATATAAAATGGTATGGCCACTCTAGAAAAAGTTTGATAATTTTTTTAACTATGTATGCTAATACCATACTACTCAGTAACTATACTTCTGGGCATTTAGTTAAGAGAAATATAAACTTACATTTGCACAAAACCTGTATGCAAATTTTAGCAGTCTCATTTGAAGTAGTCAGAAGCTGGAAATGGTCCAGATGTCCTTCAACAGGTGGTAAAACAAACTAGAACATCCATCCCATGAAAGAAGAAAAAGAGACAATTCCAAAAAGCTCCATTCATGAGCTGGAGGGTGTAGCTCAGTGGTAGAGCTCTTGCCTTGCACGCAGAAGCCCCTGTGTTCGATTCCCAGCACCACACAAAAATGGTTCCATACAGTAGGATTTGATTTACATAGCAACCTCAAAATGTAAAAATCATAGAAATGGAAAGAGATTGCTGGTTGCCCGAGTGAAGGACGGTGTGCCTGGGAGGAAAGTGTATATGATATTAAGAGGATAGTTTTTGGAGGGGTCCTTAGGTGATGGAAATGCTCTTGTATTTAGAATGTATGGTTGAGGTTGTGTTACAGCTCTACAAGATGGAATAGTTGGGAGAACTGAGGGAAGGGTACGTAGTATCTCTCTCTCTCTCTCTCTTTTTTTTTTTTTTTTTTTTTTTTTTGTCTTTTTCTTTTTTATCGGTACCGGGGATCGAACTGACGACTGCCTGCTTTCAAGACAGGCGCTTATGCCGCTGAGCTAAACCCCCAGCCCCTTCTTTTTTGTTTCTTACAACTCTGTGTGAATCTATAATTATCTCCAAACAAAAAGTTTAATTAAAAGGTAATTGTGTTAGTAAATTGTACAGTTAAATATATTGAAAAAAATTTGTATGTAAAACATTTCCTTTTGTTTTCTGGTTTTCTTGCAAGGTTTGAGGGGAGCAATCGCATTTGCCTTAGCCATTCGGAACACAGAATCTCAACCCAAACAGATGATGTTTACCACCACACTGCTCCTCGTGTTCTTTACGGTCTGGGTGTTTGGAGGAGGGACCACCCCTATGCTCACTTGGCTTCAGATCAGGTGAGTTGCACTGTTTAGCAAAAATGGAAATTAATATGAGGTACGGTGCACTGTTCGATTTCTAGTACGGCTGACTTGGTCAAGAGTACCATGGAAAGTACCCTGACTCTGCAGTTAAGTTGGCTTTCACTCATAAAGTGAAATGATATGAAAACACCAACTATACTGCCTTTTCCAAGAGTCCTAGAAATCCTAGAATGTTATCTGTTTACAATCTCTCCTTAGGAACAGGTTTATTCATCTATTAATTCTCTATTCAACAATATTGGAGTACAGTGTGAAGTGCTATAGAGTAACAAAAATAAGACATGTCTTGTCCTCAAGACGCTTACAATCCAGTAAGATTGCTACAGAAAAAAATAGTAATACCAAGAAGAAAATGAATTTGCTTTGTTTTTAATTTTTTGGAGTATCTAAGATAGATATAGAAACTTGGGGAAAGTATAAACATATTTCACAATGGAATTATGTTTAGCCAAAGGGATGGTATGGACGCAAGCTGGGTATTTTCTCACAGGAAAAGGAGATCAAGATTTCAGTCAGGGACCCTCTAGTAAGCAATGCCTAGAGGCTGACTGCTGTAAAAGTGAGGTATAAAGGTAGCAGACGATGAGATAAAAATGGACAGCTGGTGCCAATTGGAAAAATCTATTACAGAGTGTTTTTATCTTTATTTAAATGTTTCTGTGAGGTGGATTCTCATTTTTGTTTCCCAGGAAGTAACAATGATTTAGACAAATCACATTTATTTTTCAAACCTATGCATCTTAATGATCAGGGAGACCTTCTTTAGTTCCTGCCCTGTTGAAGACAAACCATAGCTACCTCATCTGCCATGAGAAGATCTACCTAAGTGCTAAGGACTTTCCAGAAGATTCTTACAGATTGACTGTTATCCCAGCACTTAGTATAGGGCCTGGCATATAACAAGACTAAATAAATCATTCACAAAAAGCTAAATGCACCAGTCACAACCATAAATGTTTTTGTTAAGAATTTACAAATAATTTTCTATCCATTTGATAAAAAGAAAAAGCAAGTAGGACTCCCACATTTAATATAAGAAAGCTTACGCTTAAAGTAGGCCAAGTGGCTATGCATTAAACCAAATTCAAGGGAAAAAAGACTTCTCAGAGTACTGTGAATATTGCTAAACACATAAAAGCACTTTGACTAAAGGTGAACAGAGAGTGTTTTCAAATGCTTGTTGAATTATTTTCTACCCATATAAAGGTGGCCTGCAATTTCTTTCACAGTGGGTTACCTGTAGGCTTCTATGGCTGAGTACACACAGTGCATTAAACTCTTCAGCAACAGATCTCCTGTAAATTGTTAGAAATATAGTGCTGTATTCAGGTTTCTGGAAAATAAAATTCAGTAGGTTGGATCCATGCATGGGAAAATGAGTGCCTGGAAAACAAAGGTTAGAGGATGTTGCCGTCTATAAAAGTATCGAATACCCTCTTGGAAAAATTAGAATATTTAGAACATATGGTACAAATGTCAGGATTTTCTTAAAATAATATAATTTGTTCTTTACTATTCCTTTCTTTACCCGAAGTTGTCCGCAAATCAGTAACATGTTTTATCCTCAAGGGTTTACCTGTCTCTTCTATATTTTTTAAAAACAGCAGTTAGCTTTCAACAAGTGTCATACTTTATGTCAGTTCTTGATATCTGATTAAGCAATGAGAGGGATGTATACTAACGCTACTTTAGACAGTTTAGGACAGTTATCCATGTTATACAACAGAGTCTAACTATAAAGAATAATGATGTTGATCACAGTGTCCAAGGAGAGGTGTGTGGAGGATCAGATTTAGCCCAAGCGATCTTAGTCTGCCTCGAGGCACAGCATGGAGTTACCAGGTCATAGGGCTGCTCCATGGGAATTGCCTCCAAATGGTTCATCTGATTCTGTGTGAAACTTGGCCACCACCCAAGAAAGGAGAGGTGCATGGGCAGGCCTGTGCCTATTTAAAGAAAAGAACTCACAAGGCTTCAGTCTGAGGGCAAAATGATAATCTCAGCTGACAACTAGAATGTAAGTCTGAAATCAGCAAAAAGCTAGTTAGAGAGACCAGAGACCCAGCAAGGAGGAAATCAAAGTGAGAAAACTAAAGTTCAAAGATATGGAGACACCAGAAAGTCAAGGCGGGCAGGCAGAATAAAGGGCAGTGAGAACGAAACTAATGGCTCTCAAATCTGAGTAAGCATCCGAGACACCTGGAGGGGTGCTTAACACTCAGACTGCTGGACAGCTGCCCAAGGTTCTGATCCAGTGAACTGGAAGTGGAAGCCTGAGAATTTGCATTTCTACTGCATTTTGAAAAATGCTGATGTTGCTGGTATCAAGACCATATTTTAGAACTGCCGGTTTACCCTTCCAATCCTCTATAGATGGAGTTGGTATTAAATACTGCCAGATTTGGCCAGGGTTTCCCACAGCTAGGTGCACCTGTGCCATAGTACATAAACTAGGGGGAGGTAGAGTGAAGAAAGAGTCACTATGCATGGACCAGTAAGATGTAAATAGAATACAATAGAGTAAACATTAAAGACAGAACCATAAGTTAGTAGATACGCAAACACACACGCGCACACACAAACACACACATACATGACCTGAATTTAGCTCAGCTGTGCTATAATGATGCCACCATATGCTCCACTTCCCTGTCCTGGTTTATAATATTATCAGAAACACTTTTAATTCCATTATAGCCATCAAACTCATAGCTGCTTGGCATTTAGACTATATTTAGAAAGACTTGGCTTGTTTACAGAGCAAGCTTTCATTAACCAACTTTCATGACTCTTTCCATAAACTATCAGAATGTATGTAAACTGCAATTTTAATAAAATAACACAAATAGGGAAACTCAAAGAGAATCAAATAAACCCAATTATTTCCTCTGGAATGATATTTTTGTACACTTCACATGGCCATCCTTTCTTGATTCTACATTTTTCTCTTAATTTATTAGGCATGTACTTGAGTTCTTTCTTATTTCTGTAAAATTTTCCATTCAGCTGCAAGCTACCACAGTGTGATGCAAATCAAATCTTTTGTACAAAGCAAAAATTGGTGGAATTAAAATGAATTGCAGTTTGGTAGAAATGATTTTAAGACAGCAGTGATCCTATGCTTACAGAAATTCATAATGATCTTAATATGTGAAACAAATTCTCTGTTGATTAAATCTAGTCCTAAGCATTCAAATTTCTTGTTTTGAAGCAGCTTAATTTTCTTTAAAAAGTAATAAAATATATGTGTAATGCAGCATATGAAAAAATTAGATTTTTTTAAAAATTCTAAAGAAAAAGACTTCCCTAGCATTATTTGAGATTTTCATATAAAATACAGCAAGTGGTTTCTTAATTAGAGTCCTTGTCTCTTCCTTTCTGCAGAATGCATTAATATTAGTAGCAAGAAAACCCAACCCCATAGTCTCTAAGGTCCTGCTTTTGTGTTAGGAAGGAAACAGAAGAGATCAAAGGTGTCACTCTTTGCCCCTTATAGAGGTCAGTAAACAGGACTATCAACCAAATGATCATAAGTGCTTACAAATAAACATCAAAGACAAGGAAGGCCAAGCTCTCTGGAAATATCACTAGATAATTAATTTCAAAACAGTAAATTTATCCTTAATTTAATGTAGGGCACCACGTGAAGCTAACGAATTTTCAGTGAACAGTACCTGAGAATGGAGCCATACCACAAAGCAAGCCTTCCCTGGGATACCTTACACAATGGAACCCTAGATGTTAGACCAGCAGTGTATTCTCACTGAACCACAGATGGAAAGCCTTGCACACAAATGTAGTACAGAACTTGCCTGCCAGACAGCACTAAGAAGTGACCTCTGCAGCCACCAGATTATGGCTTCCAAACACTAACAAAATTAGCCAGCTTTTATTGACTAAGTACTCTGTAATAGATACTATGCATCTTAGTTACTTTTCTTTCATTGTTGAGGCAAACTACCTGATACCCAGAATAAAGGAAGGAGAGGTTTATTTAGCTTACAGTTTTTTGGAGGTTTTTGTCCATAGTCAGCTCCAAGGCAGGGTGGCATGACCAAGGGGTTGCTGTTCAAAGCAGCTGCAAGCAGCAAGACCGAAAAGGTCAAAAAGGGGCAAAGCACACCTCCTTCCCTTCCCTATATTGCATGCTGACTACCCTCCCCTGGGTGGGTGTAGCACTCACACTGCCAATCCCAGCGCTAAACAACAAATCAGTCACAAATGCTAGACTCAGCCTCTTCCATGACTGCATGAGGCTTTGGGGAGTCATTTAAACAAAGACTAGGCAAAACACCAGGCGTAGAACCTCCCCCAGTCTCCGCCTCTGATCTATAAAGGGGTGATGGTCATAGTACTGCCTCCTGTGATGACTGGCAATATGGTATCCTTGTGGGGCTGCACAACCAGGCTTCAGCCCAGCCAGCTTAAGTCCAGGGCTCATATATCTAACCAGTGCATTTTCTGTCACCTGAATAAATGAGTGTATTCTGGATGCCTTCAATCTACCTTGATTAACAAGTCCTCTGGGGAAAAAGAAATGTACTTTTATAACCAAGACAGGCCTGTTAAAAACAAACACAGGAAATTTTATCCATCATGAGTGATTGGACAGATTTGTTCATGCAGCACAGAAATTCTTCAGTGCAGTCTCTCTTTTTGATCTGGAACAGTTAAAGGTAAACAAAACCAGCCCTAGACCATAGAAACCAAGTGAAGAAATTTGTCTTCCTTAATTGTACGAATTTAGAATTATAGGAATTTGTCACTCTCATCTCCATCTCTCCCCCATTTAGGATTGCAAGCCATTTTTTATGCTGTTGACTTTTTGCCTAAAACAATTTGGAAAAAAAATGCATATACTAGCCTATGTCCATTGCAGAGTAAATAATTTTATATACTTCAATGCCTGTGGTATCAGTATTTTAGGTAAATATTTAAATCCTACTTTTGGCTTATGACCAAAACCTATTTTA